GTATGTTATTTTGATTGAAGTATATGAAAAAAATCCTACCTTACCCATATACTGTATATGGTTGTAAGGGGCAGAATGTTTTAGTAACCCCTCCAGATGAGTGTAAATATTCTTGCCAGAATGGAATCTGAGACAGTATTGATGAAGTTTTTTATATTAATGTACATTAAAATCCATTTAAATAATCAGCATATTGTTAAAACACTGTTCTGTGATAAATCATTTACATTTTAAATGACAAAAATCAGTAAAATCCATTGTCCCTCTGGCACTTTGAATGGATCTTTTACCAATGCATAATGCTTTAGCATCTTGCTTTGGTTATTTGGAAAATAGATTCATTGAGTTTTACAGATATTCCAAACCAGTTTCACTTTATAATATACCAAAAGATAACATTTGTTAATGTCATCACTGCCTCATAAAAGTCCTAAGAAGCTGTCAAACTTGTGCTGATAGATGTATGTTTTCTCAAACTTCCGATTTTTAGTTGAAAGCTTTAATTTTATCATTGGCCTACAAATACTGTCAGTTGTTTTCCTTGAAGTGGTGGGTTCATTTTGTCATTTGTTCACTTTTTGAGAAAATGTCTGCCAAGAGTGAGTATGTTAGTCATTCTGTAAAGTAAATATGGTTTCATGAAAGAAAATTGTCTTTCCCTTTGATTTTGTCTGCTTATCAAAAAAAGAAGTAGATTACACTAATTTAGTGCTTCTCAGTCGAAAGCAGAAAAGTGTTAGGCCTGGTCAAGTTGGGGAGCAGAAATACTGGTTTCAGTGGCCCAGATGAGTTCCATTGGCTCCTTCACTGCTCAGGACATGCATGTTGCAACATGGATCCCCTGTAAATAATCCCAGTCTCTCCAGAGATTCTGGTTTCATTCAGAGAATGAAGCTGAATTTTGTTGGAGCCTTTTAAACAGTTCTATCAGTAGAACTGCTAGAACTTTGTTCTTCTCTTCCGTCATCTTTTGCTTAAGGCTAGGTCTGTACCATCATAGACTCTAAAGTTTATTAGTCCAAAGTGAGCAAGAACAATTAGGTATTGCCCAGGCCTGCTAGGTTTTAAGAATCAGTTTCATCAGCCTTTGTAATGAAGAAAAATGGTTGGATGTTTCACTCAGTCAGTTCCTCTGACCATGTTCTTTGTGTAGGAATACAGTAACAGGTGATAAAAGTACAACTTGAGAAAGCAAATTGAAAGTGTAAGTTGCCTGACTGTTCCAGCATAAAGGGGTCATGATTGCCAGAATTTGGAAAATGGCAGGAGATTATAAAGAAAACCCTGAACTAAGAGCTTTTCTCTGCCAAAGCAACAATTTGAAGGAACAGTGGTATTACTGACCAAATATAACATTTCCAGGGCTTAGGAATCTCACCACCCTCTGGCAGCTAAAGCAAAAATGAAAATGTCTGAAAAAAAAGCTCCTAACTTCATAGTGCATTATACCAAGAAGCAGGCACCAGCACCTAAAGTCAAGACGTCAGCTTTAGGGTTGGTCCCTTAGAACTGCCAGCACCCAAAAACAGAACTTTGCTGAACTCCGGAGAAAACAATGGATAAGTCTCAAGTGTAGACTTATTAAGAATAAAAGAACCAAGGGGCCTAGATAATGCAGTGAGCACCTACTGCCTGGATCCCTTGAGCTAAGGGCTTTGTATCTCTAATTTCACTTAATCCTAGGGAACTATATGCAAATCAGGTGGTATCTTTGCTTCAGTTAGAATATAATTAGCTTTCCAGGCCCTGTATTTCCTCCTTTACCTGGGAAGATAGCTTATAAAGTGATTTCCATTGATGGCTAACTCATTTATTTTGTGTATGATTTTGGCTCAAGGGTCATATTATTTCCATTAACTGGGGTCATTTCATGTAATTCCTGAAGAATGCAGTCTTGCATTTTTCCACACTTGAAATTGGAAACATTTCTCTCCTGAATGGAGAGATATGGGCCTTTCTGTGTAAGAAATACAGTAGTAATTCCAAACACTGACTCCCCAAACTGCCAGCTGTATTGCCATGAAGATGCCTCTCAAACCTAGCAAAGATATGAAGAAAGAGTTTGCAAACTTTGCAAACATAAATTTGCAGAGTTTTGCAAATTTAAGGATTGACTTCATGTAATAAAGATGAAAATGTCTAACTAGTTACTTTATATTCATCACATGGAAGAGATTCTTAGATTCTTATAAAATACAGTGACTATTGTTCCCATTCCTTCTATCAAGTTAATAATTAGTCCCATATGTTGAGCTAAGTATTTTGTGTGGCACTGGACTAGGTACTTTATTGAATTTAATTCTCACAGCTGACCATTCAGATTAGGACTTAATCCCATTTTATAGATGAGCAAATAGAAGGTAAGTAGAATTTGTCCAGCATCATACAGCTGGTAATAGTGGCCCAGGATTAATGCCAAGCCACTGTTGTTTTCACTGCACCCCAGAAACCTCCACAAGTACTTTGGCAGTAAGTACAATTACACTGGTTGCACACTTAAAATAATTATATGTTTGGTGGGGAGTGGTAGTACACACCTGTAATTCCAGAGGGAAATCACAACTCTGACCCTAGTCTGGGCAACAGTCTCAAAATTAAAAATTAAAAAAAAAAAGGGGGGGTGGAGAATGTAGCTCAGTGAAAAAGCTTTGAATTCAATCTCCAGTACAGAAGGAAAAATATAAAGAAGATAGGTTTGCTTTTAAAAGAATATATTTTTTGTACATTGCCTTATACATTTGAAATTTTGGCCATATCTATAAAATCATATACAGTGTGTCACTTCTTTATAGGCCATTTAAGTAATTTCAAATGTGCAAGGCCCTAGAGTCAGTCCCTGCACCACTAGAAAAAAAGAGAATTTCAAAAATAATTTTACTCATATGAGATTTCTATCTTATATAATGACTTTGACTTTAGAACCTAATACCCAGGTGAAATAAAACTATTTAAAATTCCTGTAAAATCCCCATCCTAGCTGGGCGTGATAGCGCATATCTGTAATCCCAGCACTTGGGAGGCTGAGGCAAGAGAATCACTGTGAGTTCAAGGCCAGCCTGGACTACATAGTGAGTTCAAAGCCAGCCTAAAGTACGTAGCAAGACACTCTCAAAAAACAAACAAAAAAATCCTGTCCTAGTTTTTGCCTTGGTATTGTCTGTATCATTACAGGGAAAGAGACTAGCACTTTGGCCTCCCCTTTACCTAGAGTTACTGTAGCATCCTGCAACTGTAGAAAGTTAGTACAGTTCTCAAAAAGACCTCATTTGCCTTAGTTTCTCTATCAGCTTTCCACTCTTTCATGAGTACTGTCAATGGATTCCTTTTGCAGTTAACATTAAGTATCTGCCTTGCTCCCTGAGATATTCCCTTGGCACAGTCTGTTTAGGCAGTGTCTTTTATAAAATCTACTTGTAAAATTTATTTAATACCCAATTCCAAATTCCTTGTGCTTTTTAAATGTTTCATTGTATTCCTGGTACTACTATTTGGTTCCTTTCTTTTTCAAGAAACTGAGGGCCCAAATCAGTGTGATTGTAATACTGCAGATTTAAGCATACCCTGATGCCAAGTCATTGTAAGAAGGCAATTTCACATGAGAAAGATGGCAGCATCTGTTTCATTGGTAGGAAGAGGGTAAGTTTGGAGGTAGATCAGTTACAAATTGTTGCTAAACAAACCACCTCAGGACCCATTTATTATTTCTTCTGAGTCTACTTCCTGACTAAGTGTTTCTGCTAATCTGGGTTGATCTCACCTGGGCTTGATCAGTTAGCATATTAGCTGGGAAGACTCCATTTTCTGCACACATCTCACATCTTTGGCAGCGACTTTCACATTTCCAGCAGCTAACTTGATCACAACCTCAAGGCGTGGCAGAGGCACAAGAGCAAGCAAGCCCAGCCATGCAAAGAACAGGGAGAAATGCATACACACTGTTGAAGCTCAAGCTGGCAGTGTGTCTGCTAAATCCCATTGGCCAGAGAAAGTGACACGGCCACTTAGTGTCAGAGTGGGAGGAGACTACAGAGTTGCATGATAGAAGAATGTGTCATTGCATGTGGCCATTAAATGTAATTAATCTTCTAGTCAGGACCCTTCAGTGTGAAAGAAAACCTTTAGACTTGCCTTACTAGAACAAGGTTGTCCTTTTAAAAGAGAAAAAAAAAAAGACCAAGTAATGACTGTGTATTGGGCCTATGCTGTTGGCATGCATAGGGCTTGGCACTTTACCTGCTTTTACAGTCATCCTCACAACAACTCTGCAAGGTAGGTAGTAATCAGAGCTCAGAGAAGTTAAATGACTTGCTCAAGGTCATTCCACTCATATATAGTCAGGCAGGGATTAGAACATATGTCCATCTGACCCTCAAAATCCAGGTTCTTTTTACCATCCTTTGGCTCTAAAGAGCATCAGAGCATGCCTTACCTTCCCACTAACAGAATTTTCAATTGAGTGGATACTTTCTGACTAATTCAACAGACCCCTTCTCTAAAACATTGCTGAAATCGTAGTGGAATTATGGAGCTCTCCAGACAAACCCACATGTCCTCCCAAACTCTCCATGGATTGAAAGCATACTTTCCTTCCAAATGGGGATTGATCTGTAGGCTGCAGAAGCAGCCTAAGAATTGTGGCCTCGCCTAGACATGTGAGAGAGAGAAGGGACATTAGGAAACCTATGAAATTCAGGATATCAGGGCATTAGGACATCTGAGCATGAGCTTTGGAGTCACATTTGCCATGGTTCAACCACTCAGTAGCTCTGTAACCTTGGGCAACTCATTTAACATCCTGAGATCTGTTCATCTAAAAGAAAAAAATGGGAATGATAACACCTCATTTGCAGAGCTGTTACAAGGACTAAAACTAAATTATGTTTATAAAGTGCCTAACCCAGTGCCTGGCACGTAATAAGTGGCATTACTAATACTATTAGCATCATTTCTAAGGAGAGCCCTTCCCCTCCTGGGAAACCCTGTGTCTGTCTGTTGGACAGGTCCCCCTCACCTCCAGCCAGTCTATACAGACTTGCTGCCTGCTATGTCACCGGGAACGCAAAGGCTGGGAAGAAGGCCCTTCACAAAACGGACTGGTGTTGCAGGGTGAAAAGCTACCCCCTGACTTCATGCCAAAGCTCGTCAAGAATCTCCTAGGCGAGATGCCTCTATGGGTCTGCCAGAGTTGCCGAAAGAGCATGGAGGAAGATGAAAGGCAGACAGGTCGAGAACATGCAGTGGCGGTACGTAACCACTGACAAGGGGTCCCTGAATTCAGGGTGGCCACATCCCCAGGAAAGGTAGGCTGTTCATTCCCTGTCTTTTCAGGGGCTTCCTTGGGACCCTCCCATGCTCAGGTGCTAAGAAGATTCTAGGCTACATTGACAGCCTTGCAGATGCAGATTCAAATTTGGGGGAAAGAGAAACAGTCTTCAGGCAGCACTCTGGCCTCAGCATAGTCCATACAGAAGATGAAGGCCTGATCATAGGTTACAGTAGATCATGATCCTGATCCCTCATGTGACCCTGATACCTTCAACTCCTTGGCACTTTGAAAGATAACCTTTATGATACAGAAAGCAGAGGTCAGTTTGAGAGTCTGAAATGTGCGTCTTTCTGTCAGAAGGCCTCCAAAATAGGTGGGAGCCATGCAAGTCTGCCATTCCGTGAGTCAGTGGCCAGACTTCTTTCATTTCTCATTCTTCTCCAGGCCCTCTTTTACCCAGAATCAATTCAGCTTCAGGACTCCCAGTTTAAAGACCTTTACTCTTGTTGGCTTTTCAGCTAGTGCCCACACTGACAGGCAGTCTCTGTCCCTGCAGAGGCTCTCCTTAGAATCCACACACTCCATGTGACTGGGAGTATCACTGCTCCCTTCCAGCAAAGACCCTTGCTTGTGCTTGCAGCTGGAGTAGTACTGGTTGTGCTTTGACCATGGCAGAGGGGCCCTGGGGAGAGGGGGTTTCCTTGGGGTATGCAGAGGCAGCAGAGGGTCAGCTCTGCTGTTTGACCATGAGCCTTTTTCTTCTCCTTTTCCAGATCTCCTTGTCACACACATCCTGTAAATCACAGTCTTGTGGGGGTGATTCTCATTCCTCCTCGTCTTCCTCTTCATCATCCTCATCATCCTCCTCCTCCTCCTGCCATGGGAACTCAGGGGACTGGGATCCCAGCTCATTCCTGTCGGCACATAAGCTCTCGGGCCTCTGGAACTCCCCACACTCCAGTGGGGCCTTGCCCGGCAGCTCGCTCGGGAGCCCTCCTGCCATCCCCGGTGAGTCTCTGACTTTGGGAAGGGAGCCAGGACCCTCCATATAGACAGCTGTGTTTTCCTCTCCACTTTGTTCCAGTGAATCAGAAGATTAGTTCTTAAAATAAGTAAAAGTGGAGCTATACCAGTGGCATCAGGGCACCCTAGACCTTGACTATCTCTGTGAAATGCCTGCCCAGGACTCTGAAACTGAACAGCTACTGATAGAGGAAAGTTTTCCCTCAAAACTGTCATTGGCTCTCATAGCTGTTCATATTGGATCCAGGAAGGGTGCTGGTGAGCACTGTCTGAGGTGCAAGTGTAGTGAGAGGGCCTTTAGGGAAATAGGATTTAAGTCATAACTCCTGCCCTATAGCACCATGGACAGCTAGGCCACTTCAGCTTCCTCAGCCGCCTTCACATTTTTTTCACCTGAGAGATAGTGTAGAAGCACTGCACTTAATCCACAAGAGATTGGCAGTGCGAACTGCTGTGTTTTTTAGCCAGTTAGCAGCTGTACAAGCCTTCTTTAGAGTCTTGAATGATGTACAAAGACCCAAAGGAAAAAAGATTTGGCTTATTAATTTATTATGTAAATATGATTGACAGTCATACTTCTAAGTGGACGGGCAGGTTTCTTCAAAAGGGTGCCTTCCCCAGCATTATGTGATTTAAGCAGTGAACAATTCAGTTGTCTTGGTCCATGAGCCAAACAGAGTCATCAAAGTCTTTTCCCACTTTCTCTCTGAAATGTGAGTTCTCCCAGGAGTCAGGCATCGCTGGATCCTCGGGTCTACTTGACCAAGAGGCAGAGCTTTAGCCTGCTGCAACTCCCTTTCCAACCCCAAGGAATGCCTGTGAATACTGATCCTGGAGACTCAGAGAGACAGAACACATGCCTCCTGCTCATGCCAGCCAGCATTCTTGGTGCTTTCTCCCTTGGGCCTGGGCTCCTTGAACTTACCCAGCCAAGCTGCTGCCCACAGATTCCTCTTCGGCTCTGGGGTCCCCTGTACTGAGAGGCTGTGTCCTCTGGTCACAGTAAGCAGGACACTGGCAGTGAGCCTCTGGGCCTTCCTGGGTCTGACCCCTTTTCCCCTCCTCTACCCCACAGGTGAGGCTTTCCCCATCTCGGAGCACCACCAGCACTCAGACCTCACTGCTCCCCCTAACAGCCCCACTGGCCACCACCCCCAGCCAGCATCTCTTATCCCTTCTCACCCTGGCTCCTTCAGCTCACCTCCCCACCCACACCTGATGCCTACTACCCCAGCAGCACCTTTCCCCACCCAGGCTTCAGAGTACCCTGTGGCTGCTGCTGCCACTGCTCCCCACCCTCCAGGGACATGTCAGAGCCCCCACCTGCCCTCCACCAGCATGCCGCTCCTGAAGATGCCTCCACCATTCTCAGGATGCAGCCACCCCTGCAGTGGGCACTGCAGCGGGCACTGCAGCGGGCCTCTCCTCCCACCACCGAGCTCTCAGCCACTCCCTAGCACTCACAGGTAAGTGAGCCATGTGACCAGCACACTCCCTGCTTACTGGAACTTAGTTTTGGAAAACATTGCCAAGGGTACTTTTGGGGTAGAAATTACAGGATAGATTGGGCTGAGGGTGTGGCTTAGTGATAGAAATTGTGCTTAGCTTGTACAGGGCTGGGGGCTCAATCACTAGCATAAAAATAAATAAATAAAGGCTAGATTACTAGTTTTATTGTTTTCCCAACTTAAGTAAAAATATGTGTGTATCTTTTTAAAAGAGTGCTTGCCTACCATTCTCAGAGTCCTGAATTCAGTCCCCAGTAGTGTAAAAAAAAGTACCTACTAACATTACTTATAATTACTAGTCAAAAAATCCTTAATAAAAATTTAGCAAACCAAATCCAGCAACATGTCAGAGTGGTAATATAACAATGTGATTTACCTTAGGAATGCAAGGTTGGTTTAACATCTGAAAATCAATCAATGTAATTCACCATACTAAGAGCCTAAAAAGAGCCAAGTGTGTTGTGGTGCACATCTGTAATTCTAGCTCTCTGGGAGGCTGAGGCAGGAGGATCACCATGAAGTCAATGTCAGACTGGGCTACATAAGTGAGTTCAAGGGAAGCTTGCACTACATAGTGAGACCCTACCTCAGAAGGGTGGTGGAGGGGCCGGAGGGCGGCTGCAGATATAGGTACAGGAAAGCATTTGACAGAATTCAACAAAATTCTTAGCAAACTGGAAACACAAGGAAATATTCTCAACAGTAAATAAGCTACAGCTAACATAATAATAGTGAACTACTGAGTACTTTAAAAGAAACATACTCTAACTTAGAACAATTGAGGAGTATATAAAGAAGAAAAACTAGCTGAGTGTAGTGCCACATGCCTGTAATCATAACTACTTAGGAGGCTAGGCAGGAGGATCACATGTTTGTGGCCAGCCTATGCAACTCAGCAAGAGACAAATATATATATTTGTGTAGCAGTTCTTTTCAAACATCTTACTCTGTTTGTTTCCCCAGTCATAATTCCTTTAAAAACTTTCCAATGGCCACATCTTATTGGATAGCAGTAGCATCTCTTATTGGATAGCAGTAGCATAATTTATTCTCCTATTCCTGGGCTGGTAAACATTTGCAGTTTTTTAACCAAGAGAAATAAAGCTGTAATTAACATCCTAAAATGGTGCTTGAATGAGTAAGTGTATCCTTCAGGCAATTTCTAGAAGTAAAACTATATACTGAGAAAGTTTATATTAGTATGTATTTGAAAGTGAATTCTTTGGAGCAGGTGGATATATATTTGTATAAGTCAGATTTGCATTTATTATGCATCTATATTTTCCCACTCTGAAATCCCATCTTGACAGTTTTTGACCTCATGTGCCTTTCACATGCCGTTGATGGTGTCTGTACTGATTTACATCTTCCGGTTTTTACTTAGCATGACTTCATCTATGTTTGTGTGCGCGTGCGGTAGCCATAGACCTCAGCATTCAAGACTGGAGAATATTAACTGTGGATCACTTCATTCTTCTCCACCTGCTGAACATTTAGGTCATTCCACTACTTTGACATGTAATGTCCCTAAAGGTGTCTCAGCCTAAAGTATTTTCCCTCTTTTTGGATTTTTCTCCTTAGAATAGCATCCTCAGAATGAAAAAGTTCTCATTTAAAGGGTGTTTGGGTTTTTTATTATTCTTTGTCCAGAAGGGTTCTTAATATATGTTGAAGAGCTACTTTCCAGAGGGCACTCCAAACACAGTAACTATTTACTACCAGTTATTAGAGAGCTGGTATCTTCATATTCTCAGGAGCACTGGGTATTGTAGTTTTTCTAACATTCAGTTGTGCTAATGTAATGAGGAATGGCTGATTTAGAATAAACTTCTGTAAGCAACACTAACAAGTTCTGTTCCTGTCCTTTTCTAATCCTGCCACATACTTACTGTCCTTCCCAGCAGAGAGGGGCGATGTTGGACTGACTTTGGAGCAGAGCCTCAGCCAGCATGGGCACCAGCTCCTGCAGCACTTCAGCTGATGAGGGCCCAGCCTTGGGCTCTGACTCTTTTCTGCTTCTATTCTAGGACCTTTCAGCCTAGGTCTGATTCTTACGCTGGGAAGATATTCTATGCAAAATGCTTCTAGTGTTTCCCAAAATCCAAGGCAACACGGGGACTTGTGTCCTAGTCACCTGTTGGACAGAGCAGTCAAGCACCCTGAGCTTTGGTCTCTGCTACTGCAAAATGGAGAGAGTAGAACTTATAGAACTTAGGGGTTGGTTAGAAATAACATGCTGAGTACAGTATTAGGCACAGGCAATAGTCTTACAGTCTGCAGCCCAGGAGACTCATTTAATTTTGCTCAACTCAGTTCCTTGTGGTTAAGGTAGCTCTACCCACTAGTGCTAGGGACCAGATTCAAGTACTGAGGACCCTAGAAAATGGAAGGAAACACTGACCTCATTAATGGGGAGCCTATCAGCCTGCTAATCAGTTTAAGTGCCTACTTACCAAGCACCTGCTGGATGTGCAAGGTTGTTATGCTGCATGCTGGAACCCAAAAATAGAAGTAGCACAGTCCTTTGCCCTTGAGGAGTACACAATCTGATAAGAGAAAAGGAGGCAAACAGGCCAGGAGTAGTGGCACACACTTATAATCCCACTACTCTGGGAGCTGAGGCAGGAGGATTGAAAGAAAGTTTGAGCCAAGCCTAGGCAACTCAGCAAGACTCCATCTCAGAAAAAGAGCTGGGGATAAAAATCAATTCAGAGGGCCTAGGTTCAATCCCCAGTACTACAGCGGGGAGAAAGGCAAGCAGTCCACTACAGGAACACATGATAAACGAGTGCATAGAGAGACGTGTTACTCTCTATGTACACTGTGGGCACAAAAAGTGAAGGTAAAAGGAACCTGTCAGGGGGCAGTCTCTGTGTTTGCGATGCCCCAAGGGGCAAGAAGTATTGGCCCTGTGCTTGAGAGAGGCAGCTGAAGGGCAGCTGGTATGCTGCTGTGGGCTCCCGCCCTGCTGCTTCTGCAGCTTGCCCCACACTGCCCTCCCTCACCTCTGGGCCTTTCTCGCCTGCCCCAGGGACCCCGGGTGCAAGGGGCACAAGTTTGCACACAGCGGCCTGGGCTGCCCACTGCCCCAGCCCTGCGAGGCAGACGAGGGGCTGGGTGAGGAAGAGGACAGCAGCTCTGAGCGCAGCTCCTGCACCTCAACTTCCACCCACCAGAGAGATGGGAAGTTCTGCGACTGCTGCTACTGTGAGTTCTTCGGCCACAATGCGGTGAGTGAGCCTGCCCAGGCCGGAGAGGGCTGGGGGCCAGCCAGGTGAGCACAGGGATACCCTGCTCTCCCGAGACCCCTTGCTCACAGGAGTAATCACTACACCGGCACCCTGTGAGTCCTTACACCTGCGTCCGCTTGCTTGAGCCTCACAGCACATTGGTGTGGTTGTGGTTTTTTTATTTTTTTTTGTTTTTGTCTTTTAAGATTTTGCTGCCTTTATTCTTTCCGTGGTTTCTCTTAAGATTGACTTTTTTTCTTCAGGCAAAAGGAAAGGAAGTGGCAGAGAGAAAGCTATGATTCTGATGAGTATGTATATGTGTGTAATCCCAGAGAAGTGAACACTTGTGCGTGTTGAAGGCAGAGTGGAAGCAGAAAGGCCTCAGTTCCCCAGGTGTGACAGCCAGCTGAGGGACAGGCCATGAGCACCGATGGCGCCAGGAAGGAGGCTCAGATCAGAGTACATGCTGTCTCTGCACAGGGGAGAAAGCAGTTCAGAAGTCTCATAAGGTGAAGAAGAAAGGGCTGCTGGTCAGGGCAGAGCAACTAAGGATAGGAGGAATGAAAGTAATTCAGCTGTTAGTCACCTTTGAGCTAGGTGTTATTATCCTCATTTTAGAGATGACAAAATTGAGGCTCACAAAGACTTGATGACTCGCCCAAGGTCATACAGCTTCTAAGTGATGAAGCGTAGGCTCAAACCTGCTTCCCTGGCTCCCCAGTCCATGTTTGCTCAACTCTGCCCTGTTTCTTCCCACTCTCTGCACCCGCCGCTGCCTCAGCTCAGAGCCTGGCTGAGGATGAAGCCATTTGGCCTTGGTAGAACAGCTGTCTCGTTCTTACCACATACTTGGTGCCAGTGGGTGGGAGTGCTGTGGGCCTTTCAGGCCCAGGGTGTAATGTCAGCACCTCCCCCTCCCCCAGCCACCCGCTGCCCCGACGAGTCGGAATTATACCGAGATCCGGGAGAAGCTCCGCTCAAGGCTGACCAGGCGGAAAGAGGAGCTGCCTATGAAGGGGGGCACCCTGGGCGGGATCCCTGGGGAGCCCGCCGTGGACCACCGAGATGTGGATGAGCTGCTGGAATTCATCAACAGCACGGAGCCCAAAGTCCCCAACAGCGCCAGGGCCGCCAAGCGGGCCCGGCACAAGCTGAAAAAGAAGGTGGGTGTAGGGGGAGCTCAGCACTACTGCCTCTTCTCCCTGAGGAATCCCGCGCCTCAAGCCCCAAGACTTCTGGGGTATGAATGGTGCTAGCTGCCTAAAGACTTTAGCATGGATCATGCTCTGGGAAGGTCTGAATGAGTTTGGGAGGCATCAGGGTAGGGAGCCTGGGGGCAAGTGATCAGAGGAAAACATGTGTCTTGACCTCAGAAGCTGCTTGCTGGATTCCTTTAAACCAAGGACTTGCTTCAATTGGTCATTTATTCATTCCACAATTACTTCTACAAATACTGGGAGTCAAAGTCTCATGCATTTAAAGAAGCTCAGTCCAGTGTGGAGACTGACACAAAACTGGACAAGCATACCAGGATGGGGAAAGTCCTCCATTCTCCCTGGAAGTAGTTTTATAAGAGGCTGACTTGTGAGCTGAGTCATGGGGGATGAGCACAGATTAATCAGCAGGGTTCTCCCAGCATTGGGCACACCACACAGAAGCTTGGTAAAGCCAAAGCAGAAAACAGCAGAGAAGGCAGGACAGATGGTGGAGATGAAGGAGGGCCTCAGAGGTCAGCTGGGCTTTGACTTTAGCCTCCAAGTGAGGGCTTGTCACTGGAGAGTTGTCATTGAAGAATGTGCTTGGTTAGATCTGTGTTGTGATTGTGCTGTGGCAGTGTGGGATTTAGATTGAAAGGTGATTAAATTTGATGCTCCAGGCAGAAAAAGATGGGCTAAGGGAGAGGTGATTATGGATGGGACTAGAACAGCAGAGATTTGCAGAGGAAGCAGAAATGACAGACCTATGTGCAGGATAGAGTCAGGATGTCTCCCAGGTGGTAACCAGCAAGATGGTATTAACTGTCACAGAGCCAGGATGGCATTTGCAGAAGACTGGATGCAGTTGGGGCACACTGACTCAGAGATTCCTGTGAGACATCCAAGTGGAGACGGAGATGTGAGGCTAGGAGTTTCAAGCACAGATATAATTGAAGCCATGGGAATGAACCAGTCCTCAGGGCTGAGAATTGAACCAGGGAGCTATTCCTGGGCAGCCCTGCTGTTGGGTGAGCCTAGGCCTTGATAGCTCATTCCCTGTGGCTTCATTACCACTTTACCCATTTACCCCAACTGCATCTGCGCAATGCCACGTTCAGGAGCCCATTATCCAGGAAGATTTGGGTTTGATAGCCAGCTAGTTACAGTTCCTGGGTGGTCAAACAGCCCTGGTGCTCTGGAAGGCAGAAGTGATTCTTCATCTTTTTCCAGCCCAAAGGACAACCAAGGATCCTTCTGCAGTTTGATGTTAAGCCAAAGGGTCCTGCCACTCCCTTCAGAAAATGTCTTGCTCCCATCCAGAGCTACTAGCCAGAAGTGTTCCCTGGGCGACAGTGTTCTCTCTGGCCCCTTAGGACAAAATATAACCCCAGTTAGATCCCCGGGGGCACCTGTAGTTCCCAGGCCTGGTGTAATTTTCATAAATGTGTAGGCCCAGACAGACCGCCCTCCTTCACTTATAATACTGTCCTTTCATGCCTTCTCTTTGGGACAGGCTGTCCCTCCAAGCTCAGTTTAGACATTTCCTCCTTTACAGACTTCCTCAGGGAGTTCTTCCACTACTCACTCACTGCACCTTGCCTATTTCTCTAGGCTGCCATTTGTCATGCTCTTCTCACTCAATCCAAGTCTCCTTACATAGCAACCATCTGCCAAGCCCAGCTTAAGAGGCCAGGCTTCAGACAAACAAGGCAACCCTGCCTTTCCAGATGTAGTCATGGAACTTCAGGTGGGGACAACATGCACAAGCAGTCATAATACAGGCAGCTGTTGTCACTATCTATTTAAACAACAACCTTCTCCTCAAGGTTCCTCCACCTGCTGGACTTAACAATACATGCTGTCCACCAGCTTTCCCAGAAGCCAAGTGGTGATAGTTGCTCATTTTCTTCCACCTTGAAAGATGGATGAAACCAAGTGTCTTCCTGTTTCTTTACTTCACTCTCACCTTTGTGTACTAAAATCAATATTAGGGATTAGTTCAGTATCTACGGCCTCTTGGCCACTGCTCTTCATCCACTGCATATAGTCACCTCCCCATTTCTCTTCTTTCCAGTCTAATCTAGCATGAATTCACTTTAAATATTGGTAAAAGTGCAAGCAGAGTGACTCATCATTTAATCACTGTCTTACCAGTACTCAGTTCCTCACCCCATTTGCCTTCTGTCACTTGCTTAGAAAAACTGCAGCCCTTGGAGTCCACCCCAGGCTACCTCACCCTTTTGCAGGACAGCACACGACCCAGATCTATCAATATACCCAGCTGGGTAGTCCCCTGCTTGCCTAAGCCCCCACATTGTTTGGCCAGCCTCCTGTAGCTCCCGCATTTCCCTGCTCCTCCTCGCATCTATTCACAGTCTCTGTCAGACCCCTTATGCAGCCTCCAGGCTCTCCCAACACCCACACATACCTTTATTTTTGGCCACCTCATTTCCTATTTCCATGAGAAAGGAAGCTGTTGGATTGACAGTCTCTTGACTCTGACGACCCCAACTGCAAGCTTACTTTTTACCCCATGCAGGAAAAGTTATCCCTTTCCCACCCTGGGCCTTCTGCTGTATGCTTCTTTCTACTGCCTCAGCTCAGCACCAGACCACCTGCTCTAGAGCTCAGGCCTCTCTTCTGGTCCAGGTCCCATCACATGTCACTGTGCCCTGCAGCTCTCTGTTTTGAAAGCAGACTGTCCCTGGGCTTGTAACTCTCCTACTCAGCTCCCCAGTCCTTTTCCTCTCAGAGCAGTCACATTTCTTGAAAGACAGTCTGTGCCTTCACTGTCTTCACTTCCCTACCTTGTCCACTCCCTGCAGACTATTCCCCATCCTCTACAATGTCACTACTGATTTCTTCGTTCCTAATCCAAATTCCTATTCCCATTATATATGTCCAATAAGCAACCCTGGACATTTTGTATGTGCTCTTGTTTTTGGCTGCTCCTCTACTCTGAGCCAAGCCGGTCCAGGAAAGGGGCAGTGGAAACACCATCTTCTTGTGATTTCTGACCTGCTGGTCTACTTTGTCTCCTTTGTGAGTGCCTAGCCCTCCACCTAGCCCTGCCTCTCGAGTATATCTCCCTGGGAAAAGAAAAGCCATCTAGGTAGTGTTTCCTCTCTATACTTCACACTGAAGTACCCCTACCACTACTGGGCTCCTCCTCACAGATATCACACAGGTCCCTCAAACTCACTACACCCAAAACAGCTTAACAGTCTTGTTATCTTTCGCAAACGGGGCCTGCCTTTCCTTCCCATTGTCACTGGTACTGCTTTCCACCCTTTTGGCTGACCTGACCACCACCCTGGGCACCATCTTTTGGGAGTGAATCATAGTGACTGAGATCAATGGGCCATGGAAGCTCAGTTTGAAGCTCGGCTCTGCCACGCTTGCTGTATGACCTTGGGCAAATCACTTAACCTCTAAGCCTCAGTTTCTTCATCTGTAAAATGAGAATAACAGGAGAACCTAAGTCATAGTTTGTTGTGAAAATGGAAAGGAATGGTGCGTGGAAATGTTGGGCAGGTTGCCTGACACATGGAATGCTTAGTCCATAGGGGCTGCTGTAGCTGGTGTAGTATTTGGCAATGTTTTTTGAATGCATCTCATTCTATTTCCCCACCCAAAATCAAAAGTCCTCTCTATGCTACTTTCCCCAACAGCTCAAACCTGCCCACTTCTCTCCACCTACTGCCTCTATTTTCAAAGTGTTCATGGCTAAACATTGTCTTCAGGCATAAACCCAGCTTCTAACACAGCGAAGGATTCTGGATCAGGATCCAGCTCCTCTTAGCTTGCCAGCTTCATCTATCAGTCTCTCCTTTTTGACCTGCCTCCCTAATTTACACCCCGCCCACCTACAACAATAAAAACTAGGCTCCAGCTATACCCTTGAATGGTCTGCATTCCCAAATGATTTTTTTTTTTTTTTTTTTTGCTATTCCTTCCCTCTAAAGAGTCCTTGTCTCACTTTCTTGGGATAGTCTTACTCACCCTTCAGTGTCTCCTCTGGGAAGCACTCCTAATGACCCAAGCACACGAGCACCCTGTGCTTTGTTCCCTATATAGCACACGTTGTCACTGTCACTCTGAATTAAAACGGCCTGTTTGCATGTCTGTCTCCTTCAGCAGAGACCATGTCTTAAAGTCAGCTGCACTCCCAGAGCCTAGCCCACTGCCTCACATTCGATGAGTAGTAAATGCTTGGCAAATAGAAGTGAAAATCATAGCAACTTCTGAAGATCATCCCTGATGGATTGTCCCAACTCTGCCATTTATTAGCCATGAGCCAGTTCTGTATTCTTCCCAGACTTGAGGTTTCTCATCTGTAAATTGAGGATCATGATGCAACAAGGACAGTGGTAAGGACTAAATGAGACAACCTAAGGAAGGAGCCAGGCTTATGGTATGTAGCAGATTATACATTTCTCTGCTTTTTCCTTCTGTTCTTGCCAAAGTCTCTATTTTGCCCTCACACCAGTACTTCTTAGACTTTATTTAGCAGCAACTTTTTTCTGTAAATGAAATCTTCCATGGAACCCCAATCTATAACAACTAGAAGCAAAGTTGTGCTGGTACAAGGATGAGCAGGGTGAAGTGCCTTCTGGGCCCCCAGCCATCCTGACAGCCTGAGCCCCACATGCAGCTGGAAATGCTGCTCTAGGATATGCTACTGCTCACCTGAGCCCCCCACTGCCAAGGCACAGCCTTTGGCCCAAACCCTCCCAGCCATTCCCAGAGCCTGTGAGAGACATTTTTTTGTCTTCCTAAATTACAAACTGGGAAATTAAATTTAGAATAAGTGATTTGTCCAAGGTCCCCTAGACACAGCTGACCTTAGTCAGTTGTAAAGCCAGTGTTCAAAAGAGATGAGAGGATAAAGGCTAGGGCACAGGTCACACTCTTAGCTGACTGAGGTGGTAGCAAGCCCTCTTTTCTCTCCCCAGATTTCTTTTCCTGTTTCTCCCCCTTCCTTCCCAAATCAACTGGAAATATGTAAGGTGGTGGGAGTTATTCAGCACCTCATGCATTACCATCACATCCTTCCCAAGGATTCTGGTATCTGTCTCCTGTCTGCCTCTAAACGCCTCATTGGCCTGCTGGTGCCTGTGACTCAGCCCACAGATTGATTTCCATTCTCTGAACCAGGTCTGTCAGAAACCCTGATGGGCAGTGTCTAGCCTGAGAGCCTCCCAACCCTCCCCCAGGCTCATAGGCCGCTTTTACATCTTACGTGAAGGCAGGTCTGGCTGTCCATTGTATGCCCTGGGGCACATGTTAAATGTAACCTCAATTACTTACGGCCAGCTGAACAGTGAAGGTTGCCCTCTTCAGTAATCCGTGGACACAGCATTAGGAGGCCATATGCATTTGTAGCCATTCGCAGTGGTCTCACCTACTGGAGGCAGTCTTAACAGCCCCCCATCTTTTCCATAAGATTGCATAATGCAGCTTTTCTCCTGCCACCTGCAGAATTGAAGAGACTGCCTCTCCAGCATCCGTGTTCCCCACATGCACTCCACTTTGGTGTTCACTCCAGAATTATTGTCCCCATTTTGCAGATAAGTTGACTGGTGAATAAGTGAATTGCTGAGGGTCACACAAGCTTAGGCCCAAGAAGCAGGCCCTCTCCCCTTGACTCCTAACCTTTAAAGGCTGTAGGACTGACACTGGGGCCCAGGATGCACAAGCTATAAAAACCCTATCTTCTAGGGGCATACCTTTACCTTTGTTTAATACTATTCCTGTCTGATTACATTTCATCCTCCTTCCTGCAAGACGATCGAGCAGGGAAGGATCGTGAGACTGCCTCCAGCAAGTTAGTGGCAAAGCTGGGCCCCAGGCTGATGGGTCAGGTGTCACTTTTTGCCTGGCAGCTGACAGGCCCTTGCTGAAACTGCCTCTTGTATTGACAGGAAAAAGAGAAGGCCCAGTTGGCAGCAGAAGCTCTGAAGCAGGGGAATCGTGTTTCTGGAAGCCAGGAGCCAAGGCCTGCCAGGGAGAGGCTGTTGGAGTGGCCTGACCAGGAACTGGATCGGGTCAACAGCTTTCTGAGCAGCCGGCTGCAAGAGATCAAGAACACTGTCAAGGACTCTATCCGCGCCAGCTTCAGCATGTGTGAGCTCAGCATGGACAGCAATGGCTTCTCTAAGGAGGTAGCTGCCGAGCCTGAGCCCCAGACTTTACCCCCCTCAAACCTCAATGGCTCCTCAGAGCAACGGCCTGACATCAACCTTGACCTGTCCCCTTTGACTTTGGGCTCCTCCCAGGGCCACACATTACAAGCTACAGGTGAGCCAGCCCCACCGTGGGCAGAAATGAGAGGCCCCCACCCACCATGGACAGAGGTGAGGGGTCCTCCTCCTGGTATCACCCCTGAAAATGGGCTAGTGAGGAGACTCAACACTGTGCCCAACCTGTCCCGGGTGATTTGGGTCAAGACACCCAAGCCAGGCAATCCTAACTCTGAGGAGCCAAGTTCAAAGGAAATCCCAAGTTGCAAACAGGAGCTGTCTGAGCCTGTGGCTGCAAGTGGAAAGTCACGGAAGGGCAAGAGACAGGGCAGTCAGGCCAAGAAGAGCGAAGTGAGCCTGGCCCCCCGGCCCCCAACCAGCATAGAGGCCCCCAGTACCAAGAGCCAGATGTCTGGTCCCAAGCAGCTAGGTAAGGGCCCAGAGCCTCCCAAAGTGGGCAGCTGCTCCGAAGCTGAAGGGTTAAGCCGGCCAGGACCAGGTTGGGCTGATAGCTCCAAAACTGAGAAGGAGAAGGGCAGCTCCTGGAGGAACTGGCCAGCTGAGGCCAAGGCACGGCCTCCAGAGCAGGAGTCTGTGCAGCCCCCAGGCCCAGCGAGGCCACAGAGCATGCCCCAGGGCAAGGGCCGCAGTCGCCGGAGTCGCAACAAGCAGGAGAAGTCAGCCGCCTCGTTGGGTGAGTGCACCAGAAACCAAGTGGCTGGCCCCCCACCGCAACCAGGCCACGGGGTGGAGGGCAGTCCTTGTGTGGGCAGTGCTGCCACCAGAGCATGACCCCCAGAGGCCTGGCCATGGGCACTGAGCCCTCCTGGCTGTGTCTTCCTAGACGATGTATTCCTGCCCAAGGACATGGATGGGGTGGAGATGGATGAGACTGACCGCGAGGTGGAGTATTTCAAGAGGTAGGTGTGGGCTGTCTGCTCTCCAGCTCCATGAGGGAGTCCATGCCCAAGATTAGTACTATACCTTGGGCCTCAAAAAGGCCAGGTCTTTCAGCCCTGGACCCTTGAGGGACCTCATTGCCTTTCAGGCTCAGCTACATAGCTTGTCTGCTTGAACCCAGGGGCCCATTTGGCAGTATGGAGCATCTGGGAAGGTTTAAGTAAGACATGGGAAGAAAGAGGGAGGTCAGACTTCAAGAACCAGGGCTTTCTCCAGCTTATTCACTTGCACTTACTGTGTCTGCTTTGCTTGGGCTAGGCTTTGGGAACAGTCTAGACCAGTGATGGCAAACCTTTTAGAGCTTTCAGTGATATAGCCCACTGCAGCACACCTGCCATAAGTTCACCACCACTGGTCTAGACAGAGAAGGATCCAGAAATATACAGTGTAGTGAGTATTGCCATTAGAGCCATAAGAGCATGATGGGACTGTGGGGTGGGAGGCTCAAAGGAGAGCTCCAGAGCAAGCTGAAGGCAAGATGGGGCAGACCAGGAGGCCTTCCTCGGATGGGTGATACCCAAGAAGACTGAGTTGGCTAGATAAAGCAAGAAAGTATTTGTGACAGTGGGGCCATCTTGTACAAAGGTCTGAGATTGAAAGAAGCAGAACATACTTGGGGGAACAGAAGCCAGCCCAGTACAGCTAAAGAGCGGAACAACATGAGCGGGGAACTTGTATTTCAGGGCAGTCTCACTGTCTTCACTGTCTCTCAGCCTCATGGGCAATGATTCCCAAACCACCAAAGTTCCCATACCTTCAAACCCTTTCACCTGGGAACTACAGAAGTTGTACAATCAGTTTTTTGTTTGGGGGTTTTGTTTTCTGTGCTGGGGATTGAACTCAGGGCCTTTACACTGAGCTGTATCCCTAACCCTTTTTATTTTTGAGACAGGGTCTTGCTGAGTTGCCCAGGAGGGACTCATACTTGCCATAAACTCCTGCCATAACCTCCCAAGCCACTGAGATTACAGGCGTTTGCCACCACACCCAGCACCAACTGGTTTCTTAGCAGGACAATGTCTAGAAGAAGGGAGAGAATCTCTGATTGTGCTTCTCTTGTGTCTACTAAAACCAACAGGTTCTGTTTGGATTCTGCAAAGCAAACTCGTCAGAAAGTTGCTGTGAATTGGACCAACTTCAGCCTCAAGAAAACCACTCCCAGCACAGCTCAGTAAGGTAAAGACCCCAGGTGTTGACCTAAACCCACTCCCATGTGCTCTGGCACCTGTGTCCTACAAGATCATTCTCTGTTCTCAGCAAGGGAATTGAACTTCAGTCTTGGCAGCCCTGCTGCCTCACCTCCACAGCACCCAATATCAAGTGCTAGTGTCTGAAAGCCTGAGCCCCGTATCTCTTCCTGAGTCATTCATCTTAGGTCTTGGTCCTTCAGCCATTCCTCCCTGCCCGGCCCTGAGCCCTACTACCCATGTTCCTGAAGGGCCCTTCCTGGGCTGCCATCCCTGGGCTATCAGCATTAAGGCTCAGCCTCTTATCAGCTGCTCCCATAGTACCTATCCTGCAGTAGGCCCCATGCCCATGGGGCTGCTCTGACCCCTCATATGATCATGCTGGGGCTTGCATCTCACTTACTTAACCTGGTTCCTCCATCCAGGGTGCCCTCCAGTTAAAACAAGTGAGAAGTAGCCAGCTTCAAGAAGCAGTGAGGGGGCAGATGAGGGGGCAGATGAGATAGATAGCAAGGCTTTGTAGTTCATTTAACATGAAAGAGCTGGGCATGAGGATATAAACCCATAATCCCAGCACTTGGGAGGCTGAGCCAGGAGGATTGTCATGAGTTCAAGGCCAGCCTGAAGTACATAGTGAGACCCTGTCTGAAAAAAAAAACAAAAGAGTCTGAGGCAGGAGGATTGCTGTGAGTTTGAGGCCAACCTGGGCGAAAAAGTGAGTTCAAGGCCAGCCTGCACTACATAGTGAAACCCTATCTCAAAAAGATAAAAACAAACCAAAAAAAAAACCACAATAAAAACATGAAGGAGTTAGTGGGTGTTCTCCCCAAACAGAAAAAAAATCTGAGGAAATTGATAGCCAGGCTGCCTCCAGGAAGAAGAGACTTGGCCCTTGAGGATTCTGGCCTCTGCATTGGTCCTTTTGTCTGAAATAGTAACACACTGGAAGATGTTCTTGAACTGAGTACAGAAAACTACAGAAAGCACTGGGCCGGGAACCTTAGTACAGAAGAGAAGAGCAGATAGCAAGTGGCCTTGGTGCTGAGGTTAGGGCTTTGTAACTGTACAGTTCCATGCCTTAACCCTGTCTTGTGTCCCTGGGACTAGGCCTTTTCTGGCTAACAAACGTAGCTTCCCTGAAGGCAGTAGGAGACTGGAGCAGTGGGAGACACATACCCCTGAGGTCTTCACTTGTCTCCACTCTCCTCTTTCCCATGCTAGGGCACCTCTCTAGGCTAAAGCAATGGGTTTCCTACACCCTCAGCTCTCCAGGGGAGCCCGAAGAGCCTGAAGCTAAGCCACCTTTTGAGGCTGAGGCTCCCTGTGGCATGGTGTCCAGGAGGTGTCCCAAATCAGGACGTTCTTCAGACTCCCTGTCAGCTCTCTGCTCTCATGGAGCTGGGCTTCCTGGTCATTTGCCAGACTAAGGGGTCCACACCCCAGGATTATCTTTCAGTGCCAAGCTGCCCTCATACTTCTCTTCTCTACCTCCACAGGAACCAGGCACTTTATCTCTTCTTCCTACCAAAAGAAAAAGGCCTGTATCTCCAATTCCATTCCTCATCAGGAAACCAATCCAGCTATCCTCTCCCACCTTGCCTGCTCTATTTCCCAAGACCGAGGACACACACACACACAAACACACCTATATTACCTATATTCTCACCACCCTCTCCCACCTTGCCTGGTCTATTTCCCAAGACCGAGGACGGACGGACACACACACACACACACACCCCTATAAGTGTTCTCACCATCCTATAGGCAGCATTGAGAGCCCAGTGTGTGAGAAAGCAATCCTGGCATGGACTGAGGACCCAGCCAAGGCTGCATCCCTGGAGCCTGAGTGCAAAGGTGGCCTCCTCCAGTACTTGCTAGTGGGAAAACAAATGCCAGCAGCCATTCAGCCCTGGCCTGGAAGAATGTGCTGCAGCAGCGGTCCTAGGCACCTCAAAGATTGTCCTACATGTTGCCAGAACCCCAGGACTGGGTTCTGTTCCTCGACAGGGTCTTAACCTTCGTCTTCTGTTAGAAGTGATCCAGGAAATCTCTTCAGCATTTTCAGACCAAAGAACAAAAATATGAGCCAACTGTTTCTGCCTCCATAGGAAGCCAGTGTTGGCATGGGGAGGATAGAGCATAAGCCATTGCTCACTGTAATCCTACTCTTGTTCTTTCTCAACCTTCTTTAGGTCAAGCTTCATCAGGGCATCCTGAGACCCCAACTGCCAGCTGAAAGTACAGGTTCTCCTTCCATGTGTCCTGACCACCTGCCCTGACCCTTGCTGCTCCTTCCATCCTGGACCAACCAAAAGCTGAATGGATGTCACGCTGTGCAGGGGTCCTTCAGACCTTCTGCTGAGCTGCTTCCTGGTGCTATGCAGCCTCCATATTTAGAGACTGGGGACTTGGCTGGCCTATGGGCCAGGGGCTGATGGTACTGCTGGCCCAACACTGCTCTTTGTGTTCAGTTTTATTGTTTTTATTTTTATTTTTTTCAATTCTTTTGATACTGTGAAGATCTTTCATGCTGAAAGATAAAGCAACATTTGAACACAGAGTTGGTGTGATTGTGATTTGCTGCTCTGGGAAGGGAATGTGTGAAGGGTTACTCAGAAGCTTTGGATCCAATTTATTAGTCACTAACCTTATGAAGCAGATACTATGTTTCATCCGTTTGGCATAGGTTTCTATTTAATCTTCAGGATTCCTCAGAACAATCATATGTGGGACCTTTATTAACCCCTTTTGTAGATGAGGAAACCTAAGGCTAAAACAGGGAAGAGACTCAACTGAACTTCATCACACCAAGTAGGGCTGAGCACAGCCCTGTGTTCCTCTGGTATTTGCGTCCTTTTCCTCCTGTTGGGAGGACCCTGGTATATAAGTCTGAAGCAGCCCTTTCCAAACATTGTATTGGCTTCCTTCTTTGCAAGATGGCTAAGCCTCATCAGGATAGATGTGAGGCATCTAAGAAAGGTTCTGAGGCCTTTGTGGACAGTGCACCTGAAGCCTGGCTGATCGAAGCTCTTCACTGAATTAATGTAGTCAGTGGCAGGTGGTAAACTAAATTTTTATAAACTGAGTCTGATTTCCCAGTGGGAATGGAGCATGTAACCTAAGGATTTTTTTTTTTTTTCCTTGTCTTTTTGAGACAGGTCTCACTATGCAGTTCAAGCTGGCCTTGAGCTCACTTTGTAGCCCAGGCTGGTCTTGAGCTGGCAGTGATCCTTCTGCCTCAGCCTTCCTAGTGCTGGGAGTGCTGGGATTACAGGCGTGCGCAGCCATGCCCGACTAGCCTAAGGATTTGAAAGTTAAGAGAATAATGAAATCGTCTATAAAGTCAAGCAAACTACCTCATCTCTCAAATGGAGCTTGTTTGTAAATTCAGATTTTAATACAAGGGGTTTGCTAAAGATGCCTCACGTGCACTTCTGTCTAAACTGCCTCGCCCAAAGTAGTTTACTAAAACCAACTTAACTTGAGCTTGTGTGGGGAGAGTCACATCTAGAGAATCACCACAGTCACTAAGATAATAATGTCCTGCATAGGACATTGTGAGTAGCAACCACCATCCTTGCTGCCTGCCCATCCAGGTTGAGCCCAGCCATACTGGATGAGTGACAGCTTCCTCTTCTAGAGAACAATACAGGCTGGGTGTGGTGGCGCACCCCTGTAATCCCAGCACTAGGAAGGCTGAGGCAGGAGGATTGTTGCAAGTTCGAGACCAGCCTGGGCTACAAAATGAGCGCAAGGCCAGCCTGAACTGCATAGCGAGACCCAGTCTCAAAAAGACAAAAAAAAAGTATTGACCAAGGCTCACAATTCCTGGTTCCTGGCCTGTCCCATTCTCCAAGGAAGTGTGACCACTTCCCTGGGAAACCTTTATCAGCTGTGTTCCACTTACACCAGGTTCCAGCAGTCCAGCTAAATTGGTACAGCTACCTCAAATTCTGCTTCATCGTGCGAAAACTCAAGCAGCCCATTTACCAACAGAGGATTCCTTTTTTTTTGTTTTTGGAGACAAGGTCTCACGGTGTAGTCCAGGCTGGCCTTGAACTCAGCAATCCTCCCGCCTCGGCCTCCCAAGTGCTGGGATTATAGGTGTGCACCACCACGCCTGGTCCTACGCCTGTTAAACACACGAATGAGCCAGGCATGGTGGCACATGCAGCACTCGGAAGGCTTGACAAAATTGCCGCGAGTTCGAGGCCAGCCTAAACTACTAACAAGACCTTGTCTCAAACGTACGAATGATGGAAAGACCACTAAATTTACTTATTCTGACAGTCACCGCCCTATACCTGTGGGCTAGTCTCCTTTTTGAGGTTCAGCTCTATCTACACCACCTCACACCACCCATTCCTCTTTGTCCCTGAGGAATGTATTTGCACATCGACAGACCTTTATTCCCGCTGCACCCGCAGAAAGCCTCCTCCACTCTGCGCGGAGATTCCCACCCTTTGCTGGAAGCTCGGCACCTCTGTCCCCAAGCCGCCTCTGGTCTCCCAGGCAGTCACTCTGGGCTCTACCGCAGTCACAACAATAACGGTTCCATAGATAGGTCCTAGGTTTTAAAGCACTGTCACCAGTACTTTATTTATCCCTTACCACTCTGACCATAGGTGTCCCACACAAGTAAGAACACCAGTCGGTAGTAGATGTGGAGTCACCCGTTCTGCAGGTCTCACCCTTCTCCATACCCAGGCACAAGGACGGAGACACCGCAGGAATCCCAGGGGTCTGGGAGCTCACAGCCACAAGAGGACGTAGTGTCCTACAGCTTTGTGTACCTAGTAGTCAGCCCTTCCTCTCGGCTCGCCACCAGCGGTCTCCAAGGAGTCTTCCTGTGACAGGGCTGACTTGAGCCTTTTGCGCATGCTCCAAATCCTCCAGCATCCCACAATGCAATACGGGCCACTTTCGCCCTTGCCTCTGGCAGCAGTAGGGCAAACCACAAAAAGTTTATCCCTCTGCGCGATCCGTCACGCCGACGTTGTTGCTAGACGCCGACATCCGTTTCTTAACATCTGATTGGGTTTCACTCAAAGATGAGGCGTGGTTTGGTTGTAGAGTGCTTGTGTACGGCAAAGGATGGAGGAATCCGAACCCGAAAGAAAGGTGGGAGAAAAGTTGGTGCCTGCTGGGTGGGGAGCCGGAATGAAGGCAGCGGGGTCGAGGCCTGATTCTCGTATATCTGCAGCGAGCTCGCATGGACGAGACTACTGCTGCAGGAAGCCGCTCCGAGGCTGAGGATGAGGACGACGAAGAATACGTACCCTACGTGCCTTTGCGACAACGCCGGCAACTACTGGTGAGGGGCCCAGATAGCTGGAGAAATTTGGGGGCGTGATCCCTGGGGCTTAACTGGATAGGAGGAGCCCTGGCCTTGGCGGGGGAGGGGGACAGCGGCGTGGGGGCGGGGGCGGATCTGAGAAGTGTTATACATGGGAGTGTGTTCCCGAGGCAAAAGAGGGACTGACGACGTAACCTGAGGGGTAAGACACGGGACCCTCGCCCAAAGCCAAGATGATGAGCAGGGACCCGATGACCCGCTCTTCTGTTGGGCTTTACTCTGAGGGGTACTGTGGGACCTCAGCTCCAGAAGCTGCTGCAGCGAAGACGCAAGGGAGCTGCGGAAGAGGAACAGCAGGACTTCGGCAGCGAGCCCCGGGGAGATGAGGACGACATCCCGCTGGGCCCTCAGTCCAACGTCAGCCTCCTGGATCAGCACCAGCACCTCAAAGAGAAGGCTGAAGGTGAGCTGGGCAGCACTGCTGAGTGGGGAGAAGCCACGCCTCACTTTCTGTGTTGGCGTCTACCCGTGTCTGGTGCCTTTGCCTTCTTTTCTCAGCCCGCAAGGAGTCTGCGAAGGAGAAGCAGTTGAAAGAAGAAGAGAAGATTCTGGAGAGTGTGGCTGAGGGCCGAGGTATTGTTTTGGCCAGAGCAATGAGGAGGTGGAATAAACTGCCTCCCAGCAACCCCAGACATGTTATCTGTCAAGGGATTTGGTCTCTGGGAAGCAGAAGCCGACCCTAAGCTATGTCTGTCTTCCAGCCTTGATGTCAGTGAAAGAGATGGCCAAGGGCATCACATATGATGACCCAATCAAAACCAGGTACGCCTTCTTACACTGTGCAGTCACCTTACTCAGGATGACATATGCCTGAGATTGGCAGTACCCAGGGCCTCTCTGTTGACTCCTGCTACTCACCCATAGTTGGACCCCTCCCCGTTATGTGCTGAGCATGTCTGAAGAGCGGCACGAGCGAGTACGGAAGAAGTATCACATCTTGGTAGAAGGAGATGGTATCCCACCTCCCATCAAGAGCTTCAAGGAAATGAAGTTTCCAGCAGGTATCTGGGAGAGACACCGTACTTTTATATCAAGCCTTTGTTGTCCCCATTTAGCTCAGTAGCATGACCATTGGGTCTAGCCAGTGAAGATGCTGGGATGTGAGATGAGATTTCTTTCCGCTTACCTTTCAGTTGCCCTAGACATAGATATTCACTCTCCTCTGCCATTACAGAGCTTCACTGGCAAAGTTATGTTGGGCTTAGACAGACCTGGATGTGAAGCCTCACCCCACCACACCCATGCGCATTATACAAGTTTACCTTTCCTCCTATCCGTCTCTGTTCCCTAGTCTTCATTTTATCACTTTAACTTGTGAGGAAGTGCTAGTTTCACAGGTGCTAGGCCTCTGAAAAAGCACCTGTTGCTTTCCACAGCCATCCTTCGAGGCCTGAAAAAGAAAGGCATCCTCCACCCAACACCCATCCAGATCCAGGGCATCCCCACCATGTGAGTATGGACTGTGAGACCTGGGGTCTCTACAGAGGGTGGTGACAGGGAGGGGAAATGGTCAGGTGTCTGACTGGAGAAGTAGTTGCTGTCTTCTGCTGGATCTCAGGCTGTCCTCTCCCAACAGTCTGTCTGGCCGGGACATGATTGGTATCGCCTTCACCGGGTCAGGCAAGACACTTGTGTTCACGTTGCCTGTCATCATGTTCTGCCTGGAACAAGAGAAGCGGTTGCCTTTCTCTAAGCGTGAGGGGCCCTATGGACTTATCATCTGCCCCTCAGTAAGATAACCTCGCCTGGAGGGCAGGGGAGAGACTGGGGCTGCTTTCTGGTGCCAACCTTGTCCCTGTTCCTACAGCGGGAGCTGGCCCGGCAGACCCATGGCATCCTGGAATATTATTGCCGCCTACTGCAGGAGGACAGTTCACCCCTCCTGCGCTGTGCACTCTGCATTGGAGGCATGTCTGTCAAAGAGCAGATGGAGACCATCCGACAGTGAGTACAGGCAGCCGTGCTCCAAGGGTCTCCCCAGCTCCTGTAAAGAAGCTAAAGGTCCCTTTAGTTACTTCCTGGACCCCCACAGAGGCTTCCTGTGAGCCCAGCCCTCAAGGGCCCCAAAGTATAGTGGGGATGTGAGTTAGGGTGAGAAAGAAGGATATAGTCAGATACTGTGGGAACACAGCAGATAGAATGGCCCATTCTCTTGGGACATCCAGGAGGAAAGAAGTCAGAGAAGGCTTGCAGGGAAGGTGACATTTAAATTGTGTGTGTGTGTATGTGTGATTTTGAAGAGGGGCAGATCTGGATATGAGCTAGATCCCAAAAGTACCCATGTCCTGTCCACATAATGCAGTCCCCAACAGCTATCACCAGATGCCCTGGATGAGGTCTTGGGGTCACAGAAGGCATACCTAGTCTCAGGAAAGAGGCAGCCCCCGCAAAAGATGAAATCAATATACCAAGAAAGTAAACCCAGCAAGGGCTACAAAGCGACCGTGGAACCAGGCACAGGGTGTACACCTTTAATCACAGTGCTCGGGAGGCCAAGGCAGGAAGATCTTCAGTTTGAGGACATAGCAAGTTTGAGGCTAGCCTGAGCTACATAGCAAGACCATTTCTCCAAAAAAAAAAAAAAAGGAGGGAGCAGTGTGGACTACGGGAGCTCACAGTGAAGCCTCTGCAAAGGTTCAGGACAGTTCTCCTGGGGTGAGAGGAGTGACCCAGGAGGAGAAGGAATGTCTAACAGGCCAAGTACTGTCCAGAAGGCTGCATCTCCTTCCAGGGCACAAATGTCTACTTAGGGCAGGAGAAGAGGGTGGCAAGGAAAAGACGGGAACAGAGACAGGAAAGAGGTCCATAGGACAGAATAGCACAGCAGCAGCAGGATATGGCCTCCCAGTAGGTGATGGGCAGGTGGCCCCAACCTCAGGGTCTCTCTTTGGTCCTCAGCGGTGTGCACATGATGGTGGCCACCCCTGGGCGCCTCATGGATTTGCTACAAAAGAAGATGGTCAGCCTTGACATCTGTCGCTACCTGGCCTTGGACGAGGCTGATCGCATGATCGACATGGGCTTCGAGGGCGACATCCGCACCATCTTCTCCTACTTTAAGGTACCCATCCTCTGCTGCTCCTCTCCCCATGCATACCACATTCATTGTGGAGGGCTCTGGGCCCCTGGCTGTCTCACCTGCTGCTCCTACTTCTGGGGGATACAACCCAGCTGCTCAGTGTTCCCAGACCTACCTCATATCTCCTACCTTTGCCCCAGCCCCACCCAGTCCTGTGTACCCACCCTGGGCCCCAGCTCCTGTCCTTCCTCAGGGTCAGCGGCAGACTCTACTCTTTAGTGCCACCATGCCAAAGAAGATTCAGAACTTTGCCAAGAGTGCCCTGGTAAAGCCTGTCACTATCAATGTGGGGCGTGCTGGGGCTGCCAGCCTGGATGTCATACAGGTAAGTCGGTGCCAGACTCCCTTAAAGCTGATTGGAACAAGGGCTTCACTCTGTGGGTCCTGGGGTTTTATTGAAACCTTCTGGCCTTTAGCCAGGGCCATTCTTAGTGTATCCAGCCCTTTGTGTCAAGAGGCTCCTGGTCAGCTTCTGGCCCAGATTAGAGGCTCAGCCTCTTTAGGGTTGTGGTTTGTGAGCCTAACCTTGGGATCATTTGACCTGGCCCCTTTGGTGGCAGGAGGTGGAATATGTGAAGGAGGAAGCTAAGATGGTGTACCTGCTCGAGTGCCTACAGAAGACACCACCCCCTGTGAGTACAGCCAGTCCAGGCTGGGGCCATGGTCCCAGGGCAGAGGAGAGGGTGGTAGGGACAGTGTGTTGCACGTTGTCGAGGTGATGCCCTGTGACTGGAATCAGCCTTCCTGGACAGGTACTCATCTTTGCAGAGAAGAAGGCAGATGTAGATGCCATCCACGAATACCTGCTGCTCAAAGGGGTCGAGGCTGTGGCCATCCATGGGGGCAAAGGTCAGGGCACTGCATGCATTGGCATGGACCCTTTTGCCTTGGCAGCCTCTTATCTAATCCCTCTTCTTGCCTGCCCAGCCTGCCTCTAATCTTGAAATTCCTGCTATAGCTGTGATACTCCTACCTGACCCTTTATAGACCAGGAGGAACGGACCAAGGCCATTGAAGCATTTCGGGAGGGCAAGAAAGATGTCCTAGTGGCCACAGATGTTGCCTCCAAGGGCCTGGACTTCCCTGCCATCCAGCACGTCATCAATTATGACATGCCTGAGGAAATTGAGAATTACGGTAGGGAGCTTGGGAGTCTAAGGGTGTGGACTAGAAAGGAGAGGGGCCAGGCTTAGTCCCCAGCCCCTGGGCAGTGAGCCAGAGGCTCTACCCTCTCTGCAGTGCACCGGATCGGCCGTACTGGGCGCTCAGGAAACACTGGCATTGCCACCACCTTCATCAACAAGGCTTGCGGTAAGTCTTTCACCAGAGCCACCTCAGCTGTTCGGCAGGTCGTTTACCTGTCACCACCCAGGTTCAGACCACAGGAACCAGAGTGGGGCCTGACGGTTCTCTACTCCCCGCTCCCACCTCCCCCTTCCAGATGAGTCAGTGCTGATGGACCTCAAGGCCCTCCTTTTAGAGGCAAAACAGAAGGTGCCGCCAGTGCTGCAAGTACTGCACTGTGGGGACGAGTCCATGCTGGATATCGGAGGTCAGTGCTGAGCAGGAGGCTGAGTCCTCCCTGGTGGTGGGCTCGGGGCGGGGCAGCCATGAGAGAGGCAGGCGGGAACACCACAGAACAAGTCCCTACTAGACAGTGGTGAGCTGGGGGGACCTACTTGGGGGAGCCCGCATTCCAGAGCCTGGGTCCTGGATCTGTGACCTTGTTGACCCTCCCCCATCCCTTCAGGAGAGCGTGGCTGTGCCTTCTGCGGGGGCCTTGGCCATCGGATCACTGACTGTCCCAAACTCGAGGCCATGCAGACCAAACAGGTCAGCAACATCGGCCGCAAGGACTACCTGGCCCACAGCTCTATGGACTTCTGAGCCATCTGTTTCCCTTCCTTCCCTCCAAGAGGCCTCAGTGCCTGGACTTCTGCACAGACCAGCCCCTTGGACCAGAAGCCAGTGAGCGTTCTCAGCCCAGCTGGCCTGGGCTGCTCATTGTGCTCCCCAGAATTACTATCTTTATGCATCCTCCACCCCGCATCCCCCAGCTGCTATTAAAGCACAGGCCCCTCTGTCTCAGCATCCGCCCTGCCTCTGCGTCTCACTCATCTGCCCCCTGGCCTCCAGCACCTTCTGAGCCAAGGTGTCAGCATCTCCCACTGCTGCCAGCATGCAGCCTGCCTAGCCAATGCCCCACTCCGGGGACTAGGGCACTCTGGGATTTACGGCTCAAGTAGGACCCACAGTAGGCTGCCAAGGGGAAACGGTTAAGTCTCTTGCCTCCTGACTGGCTGTCATAACCCCAGCTTTGCTCTTCCCGATGGTTGTGTGATGCTCAGAGGGCTTTTCCTGGAGTCTTGGGAGGCTCTTCCATGTCTCCAGTCCCTGCTTGCTACCTGCATGCACAGGCTTCCACCTGGAAACCCTCAGTTTCAGTCACTGAGGAGGTGGACGATGCCGCAGGAATCCCATTCAGGCCACATACCCACTGACTTACTCTCTTCTGCTTTTTTGCTGGATTGTAAGGACTCAGACAAGCCAGGCAGAGACTGCCTAGAAAGCCCACCGGTAAGTGTGAGACTCAAATGTGAGGAAACATGGGCAGCAGATCTGCCAGGACTTGAGCATCTATGAGAAGCAGAAGCACAGCATTGCAGTGGCTGTGTGTCACACAGTTCTGTGCTGTGACCTTTATGTGTAAGGCCTCATGCTTATCCAGCAGGATGGCAATTACTCAAGTCATGTTTGTCACTTGGTGTGTGGTCTCAGGTTACTTAATTTTTCTGAGTCTTGATTTCCTCATTGTTGAAGTGGCAGTGAGAATGCGGAGGACATGGTGTCTGAGACTGCTGGAGTTGTTCGGGCCACAAGAACCACAGAGCTAGGTGCCAGAGGCCTTTAGAAGACATTTACTGACATGGGGTGTGGTAATCTCAGCACTCGGGAGGCTGAGGCAGGAGGACTGCTGTGAGTTTGAGGCCAGCCTGAACTACAGAGCAAGACCCTGTCTCAAAAACTAAAAACAAACAAAAAAGACTTCCTGGCTGAATATGTGACTCTAAAATGGCATTCATTGGCCTGGTTACACATTCTTCCCCATAAGTGGCATTGAATGAAAGACATGAGACTGTTCTCAGAATTCAGATATTCAGATTCAGACACTGCTGCAATACCAGCCTCCAGCAAGATTAGACAAAAAAAAAAAAAAAAGGCAGTTGACAGGAAGCAGCTTTAAAAGAGCATGTGACCTCTCTGGGGAGCCCACTGGGGACCTGCCACCCATACACACATGGCCAGAGCCATTCAGGAGTATGGATCGCAAGTGGACTGGCTGCCTGGCCTGAGGTATGTTGTGAAGGCCGCTGTGCTCTCAGGAAGTGTGGTTGCTCAGGGATGGCCTCCAGGAGAAAGAGGTACCCATGTCCCCAAGCAGCATAGTGGTACGGGGTGTGCTGGAGCGGCTGGTCTGTGCAGAATGAGGCTCAGGGAAGTGGAGGCCAGATCACAGGCCCCTCAGTGCTGAGCTCAGGAGCCCAGTTTAGACCCAAGGAAGGAGAGAAGCAGGGTTGGTTTGGGGTTAGTGGAGAGAGCAAGGTCAGCCCAGGTGGAGCAGAAGCTGCAAAGAGGAGCGAGTGAACCTTAGCAACATTTTAGGCAGAAGCAGAGATCAGGTAGATGCTCTCAGGCAGGGCTAGGGACAAATCAGAACTGGGTGAAAGAGAACCAGGAGTTTGCCAGTCTGAGAGGGCCCTAGGGCTCGAGCAAGGATACTAAGTGCCGGGCCCCAGGGGGCACAGCTGCCTGGGGTGGGGGCAGGGTTGGAGCTCATGACTCAGAGCGGCCAGCCTGTGGTCAGATGCTCATACTCAGCTGACCCAGGTGCCAGCACAGGGGTCACTCGCCCTTAGGAGGCCTGAGGCTCCTACCAAGCAGGTGTAGGCACCCTGGGCCAACCAGAATCCCCAGGAAGCATGTGCTGCCCCTCCCATCCCTTAACTGAAGATTGGGCTCCCCACCCCCGGCCCAGCAGCTGCCTCTCTGGACAGAGGGAGGGGGAAGTGGCCAGAAGAGGAAGTGTGAGGAGTTCCCGTCCAGCCTGTCACCAGTCTCCTCGGGTCTTCACGACAGTGGGCCTCTGGCTGGCCGTGGCCATGGAGCCTGCAGAGACCCCGGTCAAGGATGGCATCCTGTACCAGCAACACGTCAAGTTTGGCAAGGTGGGGACCCCCGGCTGTCAGGCAGCCACCCTAGCCCCAGAAAGCACCTAGAGCTGGTGGAACTGGGAAGGAGCCTGGGATGGGGCAGTAGAACCCAGGAATTTGGGAACAAACAGAACTAGTCCTTGGTTTGAAAGGGTTGGGGCTGAACAGGCCTTTGTAAGAAAGGCGCCTCAGTTTAAAGAGGAAGGTGAAATAAGGAAAGGGTCTGAGAATCACAGCCTCCAAGCTAGTCAGAGCCGAACAGTCTTAGAGGGGCTCTAGTAGTGGCACTGAGGCCCCAGGAAAGGGCCAGGGGCTGAGCTGGAAGAGCCTCCCCCTGCAGACAAGGGAGAATGGGGAGGTCACCTCTCTGGCAGCAGGCCCTACACCCCACAGCTTGGCTGCAGCAGCTGCCCAGGCAGATCAACGGTCTGTTTCCTTTGCTAGAACCAATTTGCATGTTTCCTTCCTTGCCAGAATAAGGCTGTGGCCTGCTTCCCACCCAGCCATGGCCCAACTGTGTTTCTTGAGGGGTGGAAGTAGGAGCCATCATAACAGCAATATCAAGGGATCTGCCCCAGCCATTAGCTACTTATAATCCAGTGGAAGCCCTACTTTCATGTTCTTATGACCTTTTGAGAGCCAAGGACACTGGTGCTATGGAGGTCAGTTAGGAAAGGAGGAAAAACAGGAAATGGTAGATGGAATTTGAACCCAGTGCTGACTGACTCCAACCACAGACTCCAAACCTCTGCCTGGCCCATCCCTGGCAAGGCCTCCTTCCCTAGTACTCTGAGGACTTGGGGGAGGCAAAGGCCCACCTGGGTGGTAAGGAACAGTTGCTAAGCTTGTGCTAAGCCAAATGACAGGAGCATCTGCCACCCAAGGGTCGCCTTTCCTGTCCTCTTCTTCTGCAGAAGTCCTGGCGGAAGGTTTGGGGTCTGCTGTACGCAGGAGGCCCATCAGGTGTGGCACGGTTGGAAAGCTGGGATATCCGGGATGGAGGCCTGGGGCCAGCAGGTGACAGATCAGCTGGGCCAGGCCGGCGGGGGGAACGGCGGATTATCCGCCTAGCGGATTGTGTGTCTGTGCTTCCGGCCGACGGTGAGAGTTGCCCCCGGGACACTGGTGCCTTCCTGCTCACCACCACCGAGCGCAGCCACCTGCTGGCTGCACAGCACCGCCAGTCCTGGATGGACCCTATCTGCCAGCTGGCGTTCCCGGTGAGTGCAGGGTGGGCGGGGCCTGGAGGAACCATCTCACCCACACTTGTTCACCTCCTTGCTCACTCATATCCTGTCACTGTGTAAGCATTACCACATACCTGCAAGGCTAGGAAATGGCCAGAGAGTGAGTCTTGGATGGCCATGTGTGCTACAGCAAAAGTGAAATGGGGGAACATTAGGAGAAGAGCCAGAGAAAGCCTTTCTGACAGCACAGTGAGCCTGAGTCCTGAATGACGTATCAGAGCCCACAACCTGGGCATGATGGTGCACACCTGCAATCCCAGCACTCTGGGAAGCTAAGGTAGGAGAATCCCAAGTTTGAGCCCAGCCTGGGCAACTTAGTGGTTTAGCAAGAACGACCCTCACAAAAAAAGAAAACTGAAGAAGTTTGGCTAGGGATGTGGCTCAGTACAAACAAAGGCTCTGGGTTGAATTCCCAGTACTGGGTAGGGAGGGAGGCCCACTAGGCAAAGGTCTGAGGAAAGTACATCCTAGACAGTAAGGTCTGAGAATTGTGAACAGAGAGGGAAGCATGAGCAAAGGCCCTGCGGCAGGAGAAAGAGTGGTACGTTCAAGGGGCAGAAAGAAGGCCGGCATGGTCAAAGGGAAAGGAGCCTCGAGAGAAGTACAGGAGGCAGTGGAGTTGGAGGGTTGAGTGAGAGCTGAAAGTGCCTTGGGCCACGTGTGGGGTTTGGGATTTTACTCTGAGTCAGAGTAGACTTCAGGAGGTTTAAGCCAGATGCCGATGGTCATAAACGATCACACAGTCTGTGATAGCCAAAATGAAACAAGTCTGGTGGTTCCTCAAAAAGTTAATCATAGAGTTACCATATGACCCAGCAATTCAACTGCTCAGTTTATGCCCAAGAGAATTCAAACAGGTGTTCACACAAAGCTTGTACATGGAGGTTTATGGCAGCAGTATTCACAGTTGCCAAGAGGTGGAAACAAGCAAATGTCCATCTCCTGATGAATACCTACCCATCTGACAGCATATCATTAGGTCATCAGAAGGAATGAAGCATTGGTATATGCTACAACACGGATGGACCATTTGTTGTCCTTGTTATTGTTGCTGTTTTTGAGACAGGGTCTTACTAAATTGAAGTTAACCGTGGGTAGGCTCAAATTTGCAATCTTCCTGCCTCAGCCTCCCAAAGTGCTAGGATTAGAGATGTACACCACCATCCCCATCATAAACCTTCAATACATTATGTTAAGTGAAAAGCCAGACACAAAAACCATATAATGTATGATTCCATTTATAGGGAATTCCAGAATAGGCAAATCTAGAGAGCTAGAAAGCAGATTAGTTGTCACAGGCTTCAGAGGGGTGAAATGGGGAATGTGCTAATGGGTACAGGGTGATGATCACCCACTTGGGGTGATGAAAAAGTTCTGGAACTATGTAGTGGTAATGGCTGCACAACCAGGTAACAATACTAGAAACTACTGAGTTATGTGCTTTAAAATAGCTGGTATTAAGCTGGGCGTGGTTGTGCATGCCCGTAATCCCAGCATTTGGGAGGCTGAGTTTGAAGCCATCCTGGGCTACATGGTGAGTTCAAGGCCAGTCTGAACTATCTAGCAAGACTCTGTCTCAAAAAACCAAAAGAAAAAAAGGCAGGGCTGTCAGGCATGATGGCACACACCTGTAATCCCAGCACTCAGGAGGCTGTGGCAGAAGGATTGCTGTGTTTGAGGCCAGCATTGGGCTACAAAGTGACTTGAAAGCCAGCCTGAACTACACAGCCAGACTCTGTCTCAAAAAGACAAAAAAAGGGGTGGGGAGCGGTGCTTGGTGACTCATGCTTGTGCAGTCATTCAGGAGACTGAGGCAGAAGGATCATGAATTCAAGATTCACCTGGGCAACTTAGTGAGACCCTCTCTCAAAATATTAAAAGGGAATGGGGCTATGGATTAGCTGAGTGGTACAGTGCTTGCTAGCATGCACAAGGCCCTGTGTTCAATCCCAGTACCATAAACACACAAAAAGGATAAATTTTATGTGTCTGTATATTGTTTGTTTTGTTTTTGTCTTTTTGAGACAGGGTCTCACTATGCAGTTCTGGCTGGCCTTGAGCTCATTTTGTGGCCCAGGCTGGCCTCGAACTCGCAAGGATCCTCCTGCCTCAGCCTCTGAGTGCTGGGATTACAAGCCTGCACCACCACGCCCGGCTTTGTGTCTGTATATTGTCACATTTTAAACATTTTAAATAAAAAAGAAAATGAACAGGATTGAGAACAGTGAGAGGGCAGTTGCAGTCTCCCTAGCCATGCTCTGTGGGCCAAGGTGGTCATGGCGGAGGTGCTGAGAGTGAGAGGGAACCTAAGGACTAGATGTGGTATGAGGGGCAGGGAAGGTCAGGGTGACTCACAGTAGTTTCGTGGGGTGGACATTGCTCTCTGGCCAGTTCACGTCTACGTGCTGCCCCTCAGGCCCCCGCTTCTTCCCCATTCCAAGCTGTCAGGGAATCGCAGGACTCAGGCTAGTCCCCAGTCAACTCAGGGGACATCCTTCTGGGTGCCCAGTAGCTTACAGCGGTGAGACACCTAAAGTACAGCCCTCCTTCCCCAGCCCAGACAGAGCTTGGCAGGACTTACTGCCCGTCACGGAGGTGGGAGGTAGTCTCACACGGGTGCCTGCAGTCACACACAGATTGGGGCAGAACTGGGATTGGCACCGGATCCCTGAATGTCCTTGCTTGCCATGCAGTCCTGAGTTGCTGACCCCATGGGAGGTAGCGGGGTGGAGTCAGGTGGGCCCTAACCTCTGACTTGAGCCCAATCCCCAGGGCACAGGGAATTGCTCCTCGGGACCAGGGGAGGCTGAGTGTCCCAAGAGGGGCGTCGTCCCCATGGAGGAAAACTCCATCTACTCCTCCTGGCACGAAGGTGAGTCCATGGGAGGCCCGGGAACAGCTCAGGGCTGACATCTCTGGGAGACTGACGCCTCCCTGCTTGCCTGCAGTAAGCGAGTTTCCTGTGGTGGCGCAGAGGACTGAAGCTGCTACCCGCTGCCAGCTAAAGGGTCCCTACCTCCTGGTGCTGTGCCAGGATGCCATCCAGCTGAGGGAGACTTCCAGCCCCCAGGCCCTCTACAGCTGGCCCTACCACTTCCTGCGAAAGTTTGGCTCTGACAAGGTGAGGTGGGAGCAGCTGCCTTCCCCAGCACGTCCCTGCAGGGAAGGCCCTGGGAGGCAGCGTCCCGGCTCCTCAGACACTAATTCCCCGCCTGCGTCACTTGTGTCCAGGGCGTGTTCTCTTTCGAGGCTGGCCGCCGCTGTGACTCCGGTGAGGGCCTCTTTGCCTTCAGCAGCTCACGTGCCCCTGACATGTGTGGCACAGTGGCTGCTGCCATCACCCGCCAACGGGAACGTATGCCCGAGCTGGCAGCTCTGCGACCTTGCCCCCTGCCTCGGGCCACTTCCATGCCTTCCCTGGAGCCCCCTGGAGAGCTTCGGGAGGTGCCTCCAGGGCCCAGGGTTCCCACCTCCAGGAGCACATATGTGACCGAGCCCGGGCCCCAGAGCCTGCCACTCCTGCTGGACCCCACACCAGAAGAGCCGGCATCTGAGCTCTATGCCTCAGTGCGCAAGCGGGCCAGCAGGCCCCCAGACACCGCCGAGCACCTCTATGAGAACCTGTGCATGCTAGAGTCCAGCCCAGGGCTACCCAACGGGGGCTCCAAGCCCCAAGAAGGCCCTTCAGGTAGCCGCAGCCCGTTGCTCAGCCCCATCTACCACAGCAGCAAGGACCTGAGCTGGCCTGGCCCAGCTCATGACAGCAACATGGAGGCCCAGTACCGGCGGCTGCTAGAACTGGAGCTGGACGAGGCAGGCAGCACTAGCCGCTCAGGCCCACAGGCAGGCTTCAAGGCCAAGCTTGTGACACTGCTGAGTCGTGAGCGGAGGAAGGCTCCTGCCCCCTGTGACCGGCCCTGAAGGCCTGTGTAGCGGCAGCAGGGGACAGAAATGCTCTCCCTACAGTCGGGAGGTAGGCATCTACAAACATACCCCGGTTCTCTCTGGCCTGAAAGGACAAAGCAAGCAGCCTAGGAAAGACCCACACCCTGCCCTGCCCACCCTCCAGTGTACAGTGTACAGATTTGCCAATAATAAAGCCTTCTAGCCTCCTCTGAGTTCTGCCGTGGCCCACAACTCACACCCCCTCAGTCTAGCACCTAGCAGTGGCATCTGCGCAGTGCTCTGTGCTGGCTTCCAGGAGCACAGATAGCCTGGCCTGTCAGGACTACACAGTGAGCTCAAAACCAGTTTAAATGTTGGGCGTGTGGTGCA